AAACTGAAAACTATAGCTGGTAAATAACAATTAAGCGGTACGATCACGTGCCCTTTCCGTTGACACATCCCGGCCATGCAATCCTTTTTTAAAAGGAAAAACCGTTTGGGTGAAAATCAAAAAAGAAGCTAATGATAAAAAAATGGGGGCGTAACCCTATTTTCTTTGAAAACCCAAAATTTTAAATTTCGTTTTTATTGGACGATTTGATATTTTTTTTAATTTCCTTTAAACCCGGTAACATAGAAATTGTAAATGCTAAAGCTGTTCTTACATCAAAAATATAATTTGGACGCATCGCAAGACGACATTTTTATACTTTTCGATTTCTCAGATAATATAAAAGCGAATAAAAAGACAGACATCAAAATGTCTAGGACCTTTATTATTCACGAAACAAGAATGCATACATTGTCCCAGATGCATCTAGGTCTTTACTTTTCTCATTTTTCTCAAAAAAGTAGGCAAATTGTCACAGCAGGATGTTTTTATTTCGATTTATACTGTATCAAACTTGTTTATTCTCTTCCCTCGTCTACGGTACCAATTTCAATGAATCCGCAAAATAAATGCTTTGAAATGTATGGATCTATATAAAAGGTTTCTAAAAGAGTACTTGAAAGCATGCATCCAAACCTAATTTACTGGTATGTACAAAATTATATAAGATTCTAAGATGACACTGTAACAGATATTTTTATATGCAAGTTCTTATCTGATACTTAGAAGTATACAATTGGTTTTATAAAATGTTTATGAAAAATAAGATTTTTATCAACTTCAAGCAATGCGAAACTATGATTTATCACGAGTCCACATATCTAATACCAAAAATGAACATTTTCAATTAATTTGACGAAATGTTGTTGTTTTATTTTTAATTGTATTGATCAAAGCCTTGTTCGATTGTTATATTTTTTTAATAATAAATAAAATATAAAATTTTGCAAGAAATGAAATGCAAACATATTAAACAATTCATTGCAATTATTATACTTAAGAAAGCAATTTTTACGAATTGTTTTATAATAGTATTAATTTTTTCGTCTGCAATTTTAACATGAGTTGATATGGGTTAATTGATAGGCATGTAAACACACTGATGGGCCAGACTTTGTCATTCAAATAGTAGAGTGACCTTCCAAATAAATCAGTTCATTTTGAATATTATGTTGTATGCTCCAAAGAAAATACCACATGAACATGAAATTCTATCAAATAACCAAAACTAATAATAATTTTTAACAATCCCCCAATAAGTAAAATATAAAAAACCTTATCATAACCACTTAGGGGTATTTTTAAGAATATTAAAGCCCAAAATATTGGGTTTATTTTCGTTAAAAAATTGATAAAAAAAAAGGGGGAAAAAAACATAAATCTCTAGCTAAAAATATCTGGTCATCTGGGCTGCGTTTCATGGAGAGTCCTAAATCTTTAGTTTGTCTTAAGATAAGAATTGTGACAATTTTGCGTTTCAAAGAAAGTCTTGAAAAAGGTCATAACTTATAACTCCTATATTTATGACCATATGGAACTCCGCGAGTCGGATGTTTCGCCTTGTGAACAATGCAGTTTAGAAGAAATGGCCAGGAAAAATGTAATAGGAAAAATAACAAAGAGCAATTACTAAAAAAATAATAAGTGCAGAGCAGCAGTTTCTATGCTCTACACTTTTTATCAATAAGATCTATCATTCTATGATGTTTCAAGTCCATAGCTTTCATACTTAAAGAGAAATGACCAGGACAAAAATTAAGTAAGAAAATCAACAAAGGGCAATAACTCAAAAAATAAGAAATGCAGAGTATCAGTTCTTATGCACTGCACTTTTTCGTAATGAAATCTATCATACTATGAAGTTTCAAGTCATTAACTTTTATACTTCGGGAGAAATGGCCTGGACAAAAATTAAGTATGAAAATAAACCAGGGCCATAACTCAGAAAATAAGAAATGCAGAGTATCGATTCTTGTGCACTGCACTTCTTCTTAATGAGATTTATCATCCTATCCTATGAAGTTTCAAGTCCATAGCTTTTATACTTAAGGAGAAATGGCCCGGACAAAATTAAAGTTTGAAAATTAACAAAGGGCAATTACTCAAAAAATAAGAAATGTAGAGTATCTGTTCTTGTGCACTGCACTTCTTCTTAAGAGACCTATTATCGTATGAAGTTTCAAGTCCATGGCTTTTATACATTAGGAGAAATGGCCCGGACAAAATTAAAGTATGTAAATTAACAAAGGGCAATAACTCAAAAAATAAGAACTGCAGAGTACCGGTCCTTGTGCACTGCCTTTCGGAGTATTGAAAGAAGCATGCATACCAAGTTTGAAGTTAATCAGACTTATAGTGACTGAGTTATGCTCCGGACAAGCTTTAGGGGACGCCGACACCGACGGCGACAACGACGCCGACACAGACGCCGCCGACAAAAGTAACCCCTTTCAAGGCGACACAAAAACAGTCCTAAGTCTAGGAGTGTTTTAAAGGCATCTTAAGATTGTCTTAAGTTAAACCACTCCAAAATCAAACAATTTTTAGTTGAATTTTGTTTTGAAAACTATCTAGAATGATAGATAATGGTCTAACTAAGAAAATAAATCCGAACACCAATATCTTTAATTCAGTCATTAACGCTGTACATGCGTTTAAAGAGTTGTTTACATGACGTCACAATGTAGCGCCAAATATCGCGTGCAAAACAAGACGCATCTATAAATAATAATATTGCTGCGCGCTGTACATCGTAACCATTTTTTTTACTATGAAATTAAATAAAACGGTTATGTTATCGTTTTTCGTGAAATATGGTTTATATTTTCACTCAAAATGATAAGAGGGCAATACATTACTTTTTATACTTGATATTATCAATTACATAGTAAATCCAACCCGGGATTATGCGCGTGCCATTGTTTCCGTACTTTTTTCAGCGCGTTGGATTTTTGGTGGTTACGACACGTGTATAATGATGACGTCACATGTCTAAATATAGAACGTTAACTTATGACTCTGTTGTATAACACACACGTTCGATTCTTCTATGTTCAATAGGGAAAAATGCCATTGTATTTTGTAACATTTTTTTTCAGAAGAAGGAATTGGTCATAAGTCTTTTAAGACAAAAGATAGGACAGGTACTTGAAACGGTCTTAAGTGCAAAAACTTTTTCTCCTAAAGTTGGTCATAAGTCCTAGAATTTAGGATTAACTAAGGACTCTCTATGTAACGCAGCCCAGATGTCTTCTAGTTTATCCTAACTTGTTGCATTTCTTGCTTGCATGCCCTTTGATGTTTTGCATCAATGTATTTCTTGTCCTTATAATATACTAAATGGTTAAGTCGTGATTGGACGACGGACCAGTGATTTTATAAAGTTAAGCGATGTAAGGGTAAATGATATTTCAGAAATAATATATCCCAAACAGTGATTTTATCGCTCAATAACATCACTGTTTGGAGTTATATCCCGAGTGATATAATGATGTGCATCCGAACGACAAACAGTGATGTTATCAAGCGATAAAATCACCGATTTGGATATATTATTTCGATTCTAACACGACATAAACAAATAAATGCTGTCGTACCTGATATTTAGCAAAATTGCGCCTGATTTGTTTCCGTACTTTTTTCAGCGCGTTGGATTTTTGGTGGTTACGACACGTGTATAATGATGACGTCACATGTCTAAATATAGAACGTTAAACTATGACTCTGTTGTATAACACACACGTTCGGTTCTTCTATGTTCAATAGAGAAAAATGCGTGTCGTGTTAGAATGTAACATTTGAGGAGTCATTTTTGCTGAAAGTGGTAAATTATAGAAAAAAAGGTAGGCACAGTTGTATTCATTTCATTAGCCTTCTTTAGCAGCAACTTTATGTAAAACCATACATTCATTGGTGCGATATTTATTTTAATGTCAGATAACAATAACTCAGTAATCCTGATTTTATAGAATCGTTCTTTTATCGTATGTAATTGATGGTTAATATTTCTTCCAAATAATATAAAGAACTTTTGTGAAGCATCTGATATATAAAACAATAATTTAAAAGTTAATATTGCAAGAATATTGCATTTGCCTAAGATAACACTGCGTTTCTATAGATATAGCTAGATTAAAATGTTCGCATTTAGTTTTGGAGCTGTTGATAAAAAAAAATGCAAAATAAATTTTATGTAAAATTGTCAAAAATAAAAGAAATATTTTGAGATTTAAGATTTTATTTACAGCAGCTGCACAACGAATAATGTAAAAAGGAGAAAATGTTTTACTGAGCCTTCTTTGCTTGACACATTTTTTCCACAAAGACATACCTATCATTCAACATTACAAAAATACCTGCAAAGTCAGTAACACACAGGATCAGGTTTATACATTTAAGTACTTTCAGGCTCTAATAAAACTACTTGCTTCATTGTTGAACTTTCAAAAGTAGTTTATGACTGGTACACTATTCAGTATAAGGATGGGACCAGGATGAAAAGGGAAATAATTAAATCTTAAATTATCTTGTGTTTTTTTTTAAACTCAGCAGGGACATAAACTAAAGTTCGCAATCTCCGTAAGGAATTTGCTGTTAACTAATTTCATTCATCGACAAAGACAGTATGATGTGAAGCTATTGTTACAAACTCCAGGGCTGCTTGATTGGTTTTTGTATTCATTGTGCGAAGCAGAATGAATACAGAGTTATAAGTACAATCTCAAAAAAAGGTAGGCAGAGTGGATTTGCTGAACAGCATCCATCCGCTTATACGTCCGTGACATAAAGTAGTTCATGATTTGCACTTAAATCGCTTTAAGCATACGCTAAGCGATGACTTATCTGTCCCAATGTTGCAAAAAATTATGTTAAAGTTTTTTCTACCCGAAAATCATGCACTTTATTCATGTTTGACATCTAAAAACATCGATAAAAATTTTCCTGTATTTCTACGCTACAAATTATTATTAACGCATGCGCAGACTCACAATAATTTATCAAAGAGAACAACACGTAAGAGAAATTGCTCAGGAAAGAATCAACAACCATCGCACATATTGTAAGTAAATATATTTGAGTTATTGTTTTTTTTCATTGATTATCACTTTATATATTTATTCATTACATAACTTGACGAGTATTTTACGGGAAATTTGAATAAACGGCCAAGTTCAAAAACACTTTGATTGACTCGGCCGCTCGTCATTTTGTCATTTACGTAATTTTCCCTATAATTCGAAATGAAAGTGTTAGAATGTTTCGATTTGAGACCAACTTATCACACTGATTTTGATCATTGTCATGTTTTTTTGTTGTTTACTCGTTGTGTCACGTAACTTGGTCATAACATAAACACAAACACGAGGTTGACCCACTTTTGAGAATTGGCCCATTGTTGACAATAGCGTGAAAGGCGTTTGTTATTATCTATTTCATCACTTTCTTTTCGTTAGAAAATGTGAGTTTTGTATTTGGTTGTGAAATATTAACAAATTTCATTATGTAAGGTTCGCGCCATAAACATGACTCATACCGGAAGTTCCTTTGTTTGTTTACGACCGGAAGTCGCTTATGTTCAAAAATTAAATAAGAATCAAAATTACATGAAGGATTTAAAGTTAGATTGATGTGGTAAATGCTGTATAATATTTATTTCCAGGTTGACTGTAACCTTTTTGTCGTGGGTATTGTAGCGGATATTCCTTGTGACGTAAGTAAATCTATATACTGGTAACAATAATTTTTTATTGTGAAAATTGCAGAGGCAGTCGGTGTGTGGTTTTGATACATAAAATGATCATGATATCTGCCACTTGCTTGATGCCTAAGTTTAAGTTCAATTTGTTTTATCAACATGTATATTGTTGTATCTAAGCTAGGACAGTCGTCTGTGGTTTATATTAGTAGAGGTGATTCAGCCATCTTTGTTTTTTACTAACTGGGTCTTGCTAAAGTGAAAGTATGCCAAAATTCATACAAGTTTAGATTACCAATATCTACATCATACTGCTTTAAAATTGTTAACGATTACTTTAAGTATACATTAAAGAGCCAGCTATGAAATACAAGGGAATCCAGGAACCAGTATTTAGCTTTTATTGAATAGACCCCTTTGTTCTTTTACATGTCTGGATTTCTGAGTACAGCTCTAGGTAGGTTGGAAACACTAAAAGTGTCTCTAAACAATCCCAAGGGTGTAACCCTATATTAAATCCAGGATCTCGGGAGTGATAATCCTTCACTTCCTAGGGCAACTCTAAAAGAATCCAAATATAGAAGCTACTGCTGTGGTCAAAGTAGCAGAAAGTGAGAAATGTACAGAAGGGAGGTAACTCCTGTACCAGAAATTATTGATAAAATTAATATGGCAGATAATCATCGTATGCATTCGCCCTTTAAATATTTTTCTTATTTAAACAAGTAAAAATGGTTTTGGATGGTTTTGAAAATGAAATCTCTAAATTGATATTTTCAGGGAAATAAAAGATTATTTACTTTAATATTCACTTGGAAAGGCTGGTACATGTAGCTAGAAAAAGTACAGTATAAGATTAAAGAAAGACTAGAAGATTATTACAAACAACAGGTACTTATATAATATTTAATGTATATTTCACAAACCAAACTGTTTTCCAAAAAAAATGAATGAAAACATGCATTTTTACCAGTGTCACCACGGTCAGATTAACAGACCCATTCCCAGTGGCAAATAATGCCAATATATGCTTTTTTTCTTTTCCAAGTTTAGAAAAAAATCATAAGTCAAAATTCCGTTATCAAAGGTGACAATTTTTCTTCATTCCATTTCAATCCAATATGGTACCAGACAGATGATGTTCAAAAACACATTCCATTGTCAATTTTTTATGTATTTTTATGCTTTGAATGATATACAATTTGTTGGATTAACAACTTTGTACATGGTACTAAATATTTTTCCCAATCAAGATGCAAAATTTCTTAACCCATTACTTCATGAGCATTTTGTGAAAATGGCTGTTTCCATTGAAAAGTCTCCCGTTACAAGTTCAAATTGCTATAATACTATAAAAACTGCTTCAACACTAATCAAACTTGGCACAAATGTTGACTGGACCATTGCCCTTGCAACAACATGCTCAGGCTTAAATTTTCTGTTCCTATGGCAACGAGGGGACATCTCAAAATTGCCCAAAATCACTACTTTGCCTCGATTTTTTCAGTCAAAATTGATTTCAAAGTGATGCCACTTCTCAATGGATTGAGATATAGTCAAATGCTTTTCAGCGTTGGTTACACGTTACCTATGATCAATCTGGGGTCATTTACAGCCTCTCACAAGTCCAAAATTTTCTTGGCATCATGCTTAGAATGGTTTCACACAGGTCAGTAAGACCGGTGTACACAATGTACTGTCTGCACATATGTGTCAGAAAAAAATATCACAAAAAAGGAATTTAGTATTACTATGAGTATTTATTAAAGAAATTGTATTTCAAATATATTTAAATAGTATTATTGAAAGTCATTTTGTATGACAGACACACAAATCTAGTGCTCTGCATTATAAATGTAAGAAGAGACAAATAAGATAAGCATTTTTTTGCAAATTATTGCACTTCATATAATTTTTATTGCTTTTTTTTAAGGTGGACATGTGTCACTGTCAAGCGAATGAAGATAAGCATCACACTCGGTGGGAATCTCCAGTTTCCAGATGTAGTGATCATAACTGTATAGGCACCATTAACACTTTGGACTAGTTGGAGTATTTTAGAGGGCTAGTCTGAATTGAATCCCCTGTCAATAGTCAAGGCCAGTCATGAACATTGTGTTGAAGGAAAATGTTAAAACTCTGATTTTCCGCTTAACCAATCATTACTTTACCTTATATTCAGTGCGGTAATGTAGGAAATGGTTACTTTCTGGAACAGAGCTGTCAATTATTTTTAATTTATTAGCTTGTTAGTGTTATCGTCGGACAGTTGTGAAGTAAAAACATCATAGTTTGACTGTATACAAGTTGCCTTTAAGAAAGTATGTCGAAATCTTAACAGTTATTCGTTGATTTTGTAGAAATTGACTAGAATTCACCTTTGTTAACATGCATCGCTTGGACGTCGAAAACGAACATGCAATGACATTTCAGTGAAATTTGGAAACTTGCTCGTATTTTGGAGCATTTTGTAGGATTTCGATTGAAGTAAAAAGTGTTTATGATAGATACATTATTCCTAGAGACAACCATAAAGATAAAATAGTGATCTGGTGTATTTTTACCGAACAGTTCTTGTTTGTTTTGCATGATATTTTTCTCTCGTTAGGGACCTTTATCTTATTATATAGTATTATGAGCATATATATGGGGTAAATGTGGTATATAGTGCCTGTGGTTTTAACATGTATCTTAGCTTGCCTGGTGTAATGATAAGTAATAAACCTGAGAATTGAAACTATGAAGAATAAATTGTTGTTATTAGTCCCCTTCTATTTTCATTAAGAGGGGACTAAAGGCTGACCCATTTCTGTATGTCAATGAAAGCTGAAAGCTGAATTTGCTATAACTTAAAATGGTACAAAAGTAAGGTTCATCATACTGGTATCTGATATAGAACTATACAGAGATTTAGCATGTTATTATAATTTATGCTCCTATGATTCTGGATAAATATCTGTGTTCATTCCATAACAGACTTGTACTTTTGGGGAAAAAGGTTGCTCATGGAGGAAAATATGTTTTTTAATGGTGTTTTTGAGATTTTAGTTGATAAAGGAAAAAAAAAACATAGTCTGTACTTAGGAAGACATTTGTCCTTCACACTCTTGTCCGAAATATGAATATAACTAGATATGTATATTGAAGGGATTTATGTAAACTTCACAAAGTGATAGAGACTTTTAAGAGAAGTGCAATGTTCAAAAACATAACTCTACCTTGCTTCATGTTTTAATTATATTCCTTAAGTTAAAAATGCTTATTCACTGAATCTACAATCAACTTGAACGACTCGAATTTTCCAATGTGTCAAAGAACCATAACTCCATTCCTTAGTTTTTAGCTCACCTGTCACAAAGTGACAGGTCAAGCTTTTGTGATCCCTTTTCGTCCGGCCGTAAACTTTTACTTTAAATGACATCTGCTCATAAACCACTACGCTAATTTCATCCAAACTTCACAAGAATGTTCCTTTGGCTGTCACCTTTAAAAATTGTGCAAAGAATTTTAATTCCATGCAGAACTCTGGTTGCAATGGGAACCGAAAGAAAAAAACTTTAAATATCATCTTTAAAAAACCTAAGAGCTAGAGCTAGATATTTGGCTTGAAACATCCTTTAGTGAGTGTCTACCAAGTTTTTTAAATAAAAGCCCTGGGGTCAAAATTGGCCCCGCCCCAGGGGTCTTTGTTTTTCCCTATGTGCATATAGTAAAACTTTATAAAATCTCCTTTTAAAGAACCCAAAGAGCTAGAGCTAAGAATATTAAGCATGAAACATCATCTAATGAGTGTTTACCAAGTTTGTTCAAATAAAAGGCCCGGGGTCAAAATGGTCCTGCCACCAGGGGGTCATTAATTTTCTTTAAATGCATATAGTAAAAACTTAAAAAAATCTTCTTTAAGAAACTAAAAGAGCTAGAGTTAAGATATTTAGCATGAAATATCTTCTAGTGAGTGTTTTACAAAGATTATTAAAATAAAAGCCCTGGGGTCAAAATTGGTCCTGCCCCAGGGGGTCATTAATTTTCTTTAAATGCAAATAGTAAAAACTTAAAAATCTTCTTTTAAAACCCAAAGAGCTAGAGCTAAGATATTTAGCATGAACATCTTCTAATGATGTGTCTACCAAGTTTGTTCAAATAAAAGCCCAGGGGTCAAAATTGGCCCTGCCCGCAGGATCATTGATTTTCCCTATATGCATATAGTAAAAACTTCAAAAAAGTCTTTTTTAAAGAACCAAAAAGCTAAGAGTTTTTATTATAAGTTGAACATCTTCTAGTGAGTGTCTACAAAGTTTTTTCAATAAAACCCTGGGTTCAAAACTGGCCCTGCTCCAGGGTTTCATTGTTTTTAACAGTATATGTTAAGTAAAAACTTAAAAAAATCTTCTTTAAAAAAACCAATAAACTAGAGCTTTGATGTTTAGCATGAATCATCTTCTTATGGATGTCTTCCAAGTTTGTTCAAATAAAAGCCCTTGGGTTAAAAACTGGCCTGCAGGGTGGGGGGGTGCTTTTTATGAATGGAATCAAGAGAGATAAGTCTAAAAATGTGATACCTGTCTAATGTGACTAACCTTGAAAGTAAACATTATGACACATGTTTTTCAATGTCATGGGCATATAATGAAGAGGTACATGATTATTTGTATACACTTTTCCTTAATAAAATACTTCTAAATGTTGACATGTTTTAAAGCGCCAACCACAGGCTCAAGGTTTTATTTAAAATCTGTAAGCTTGGCACTTAGAGCCAATTGTATATTAATTATTTCAAATATCTTGATTATCATTAGCAATCTTTGTTAATTAGGAACAAATTCGATAGAAAAACATTTACCGTGTCATGACGAAACCAAACATAATGGCATCCGCCCAGTCGATCAGCATCCATACTGTCGCTATCAGTTCTCTCTTTTCTTACTGTAATAAGGTTGTAAGCAACACATGATCCTGATTCAGACTAACTGTCTGGATCCCATGCTGTCGCAAACCCATATGTTGGTTGTCATGACCACGCCTTCATTTGTGACAGGTATTCACTTAAAATTGTATTTTATTTTGTATATAATTCATCTTTCCAAAACAATTAAGTAATGATTATAATAGCATTGATTTCCATATTGTTTGTCTTAATAATTAGTTTTGTTTTAAATATAACAGTGTAAGTTTTAGTGGTTATACTTGTTTAAGATTTGTTTAAAACCAATTACCAAATCAGTCGTATATAATAATTGAAATACAGAATATTGCTTGTTTTAGAGTATATGCTTAATGAATATTCAGCAATAAGTATACTGCTATAATTACCACTCTACTAAGGGTAAACAAATAAGTGTCATAAAGATGAAAATTGTTTGAATTTAGAATTCTATTATTTGCTGTTAAAATGCGTTTATTGAGTACCAATTTTATTCCTGTTCTGTATATACACACATTTAAGTAATTACTGCTTTGAAATGTCCAAAAAATGCAGATAATTTGTTAAATAAGTCAAATTAATAAAAAGAATCAGTATAAAAAACAAGCCTGATGAAAACAAATGCCGATGACATTTTCTAAAACCATTCAATTAATAATTTTATCGATAACATTTTTTAAAAGTGTTGTATATATATTACCTTGTTTCAGTTCATTTAAAAAAAAACACTATTTTTAAAAAAAAAACTCTTCTGAATGATATTTAAGATGCCAAGAATTAATGTAGAGCACATATTGGACATAACATATATACTAATGTGAATTTATATTTTTTTACCCAAAAGTGTTAGAAATTTATCATTTTTTTGGACCAGACCTCTAAATGATTGAAAAGTTCATTTGATCCGGTAAAATTATGTTACAAAAGCATAATCAAGATTGTGTAATATTAACATTATAGTATATATTAGCCATCCAATGTTACTGAATGAACATTCAAATATTATTTCATCAAATTCTTTTTCAAACTAGGGTTGGATAACAATTAAGTGGAAAAGTTTACAATGCTCATACTAATTAAATTTCTCACTTTCATCAATATATTGTTATTATTGCATCCTAGCTCATTTCATTTATGACAATCTTTTAAATGACATATATAACAGGTAATGCAACTATTATTGCCAAGGGAATAAGCATAATACCTCTAACAGCATTGTACTTAATTTTGTATATACTATTTCATCTTTCAAAACAATTAAAGATGATTATAATAGCATTATTTCGATTATTGTTTGTCTTAATTAATAGCTTTTTTTGAATATAACAAGTTATTTTTATTGTTTTTATCTTGTTTAAGATTTGTTTAAACGATTACCAATCAGTCTATTATGAATAATTGGAAGAAGAATATTCGTTTTAGATGATATGCTAATGAATATTCAGCAATAAGATTTACGTTATAATTTACCACTCTGACCTAGGGTAAAAAAGATAAGTTTCATAAAGATGAATTTTTGTTTTTTTTTTAAGAATTCATTATGTTGCTTTTAAAATGCGTATGATAAAATTTTTTTCCTTTTTTCTGTATATACACCCCATTTTTAAGTAATTACTGCTTTGGGAAATGTCAAAAAGAGAATTTTGTTAAATAAGTCAATAATAAAAAAAAATCAGTTTTATAAAAAAAAGGGCCCGAGGGAAAAAAAAAGGCCTGATGACATTTTCTAAAACCATTTTATTAAATAATTTTATCGATAAACATTTTTTTAAAAGTTGTTGTATATATATTTTATTTGTTTAGTTCTATAAATGTTTTAGTTCTCTTTTGTTTTTGTTAATAAAAATTATTTATTGACAATTTGTTATTGTAATTGAACCTACAAGCCCCTCAGTTTTAGAAAACAGGCTGAACGACAGACTTCCAGGGTTTACTGAGGTTGATTTCCAGCTCGCAATAAGCTTAAAATAGTTTTCATTTACTATCAGTTCCGTCAATCTGAAAACACAATGGAATACCCCAGTAACTTCAGTACTTTTATATCTCCCCTTATGCCTTTTTACTTTGCAAAAAGGTTCATTGCTTATTTATAGACAAATTTATTCTATAACATTGTTTTTTGTACTTTAAACCTAACAAATGTTTAAAGAGATATATTCACAAAAATGTTTTATTGTAAATTGTCTAAGCAAACAAAAGTGAAATAATATGTCAGTAACTTTTATATTTATTTTTTTTTGAATTTTCCAACCCAAAAGTTCAAGTTAATATTATATAAATTGTTCATAATTTTGTTTTTTGGATTCTTTTTTTCTTTTTTTACCTAGTAGAAAAAAAGGGCAATGATAGTAGACAATTATTAGTTATTCGTAATTTAATCGAGGGGAAGAATTCTGGTTTTACCAAAAAAATAAGATGCGTCACAAATTTCATTCGATTAGAAACAATGGAGTACCGATCCTAA